GGATTGCATTGGCTTGGTAGATTGCTTCTGGGAAGTATGGACACTTTAACAATGTTTGTTCTTCTAATCTGTGAGCATGGGATATCTTTCCATTTGTCTTTGTCAACTTCAGTTTCTTTCATCAGTGTTTAATAGTTTTCAGAGTACAAATCTTTCACCTCCTTGGTTAATTTTATTCCTAGATATTGTATTATTTTTGGTGCAGTTGTAAATGGGATTGTTTTCTTAATTTTTCTTTCTGCTATTTTATTATTAGTGTATGGCAATTAACAGATTTATGTATGTTGATTTTGTATCCTGTGACCTTACTGAATTCCTTTATCAGTTCTAGTAGTTTTTTGGTGGAGTCCTTAGATAATATCATGCCATCTGCGAATAGAGAAAGGTGTACTTCTTCCTTACCAATTTGGATGCCTTTTATTTCTTTTTCTTATCTGATTGCTGTGGCTAGGACTTCTGGTACAATGTTGAATAAAAGTGGTAAGACTGGATATCCTTGTCTTGTTCTTAGGGGAAAAGCTTTTAGCTTTACACCATTGAGTTTGATGTTAACTGTGGGTTTTTTTTTTTGTTGTTTTTTTATAAATGGCCTTTATTATGTTGAGGTATGTTCCCTCTGAACATACTTTGTTAAGGGATTTTATTAGGAATGGATATTATACTTTATCAAATGCTTTTTTTTGGACCTATCATATCATTTAAATCCTTTCTCTCTCTCTCTTTTTTTAAAGATTTCATTTTTAAGTAATCTCTACACCCAACATGGGGCTTGAATTTATGACCTGAGATTGAGAGTCACATTTTCTACCAACTGAGCCAGCCAGGCCCCCCTATCCTTTCTCTTGTTGATGTGATGAATCACATTGATTGATTTGCAAACATTGAACCACACTTGTATAGTGGGAATAAATCCCACTTGATTGTGGTGAATGATTTTTTTAATGTACGGTTAGATTTGATTTGCCAATATTTTGTGAGTATTTTTGCATCTATGTTCATCAGTGATATTGGCCTATAGTTCTCTTTTTTTGTAGTGTATTTATCAGAGTGCTGCTGACCTCATAGAATAATTTTGGAAACTTTCATTTCTTTTCTATTTTTTGGAGTAGTTTGAGAAAAATAGATATTAACTTTTTAAGTGTTTGTTAGAATTCACCTGTGAAGCCATCTGGTCCTGGACTTTTGTTCTTGGGAATGTTTTGATTACTGATGCAATTTCATTGCTAATAGTTGGTCTGTTCAAAATTTCTAGTTCTTTCTTATTCAGTTTTGGCAGATTATGTTTCTAGGGACTTATCCATTTCTTCTAGGTTGTCCAGTTTGTTGGCATGTAATTTTTCATAATATTTTCTCATAATCCTTTGTATTTCTCTGGTGTCAGTTATTATTTCTCTTTCATTTCTGATTTTATTTGAGCTGGCTAGCTTGCTTGCTTGCTTTCTTTCTTTCTTTCTTTCTTTCTTTCTTTCTTGTCTGTCTTTGTTTATCAGTTTTGTTGATTTTTCAAAGAATCTGCTCCTGGTTTCATCAGTGTTTTCTTTTCTCCTCCTCCCCATCCTCCACCTCCTCCTTCTTTTTCTTCTTCTCCATTTCTGTTTCATTTATTTCTGCTCTTACCTTTATTATTTCCTTCCTTCTACTTGTTTGGGATTTTGTTTGTTCTTCTTTCTCTAGCTCTTTAAGGTTAGATTGTTTATTTGCAATTTTTCTTGGTTCTTGAGGTAGGTTTTTATTGCTGTAAATTTCCCTCTTAGAACAGCTTTTACTGAGTCCCAAAGATTTTGAACTGTTGTGTTTTCATTTTTATTTGTCTTCCACATATTTTTTGGTTTCTTTTTTTATTTCTTGGTTGACCCATTTGCTGTTTAGTAGCATGTTATTTAACCGCTTGTATTTGTATTCTTTGCAGAGTTTTTCTTATGGTTGATTACTAACTTCATAGTGTTGTGGTCAGAAAAACTGCATGGTATGAATTCAGTCTTTCTGAATTTGTTGACACTGGTTTTGTGGCCTAAGATATGATCTATTCTGGAGAATATTACATGTACACTTGAAAAGAAGGTATCCTGCTGTTTTAAGATGGGATGTTCTGAAATACCAGTTAAATCCACCTGGTTCATAGCTACCATGTTGTTGTTGTTGTTATTGTTGTTGTTTAATCAATTTTCTGTCTGGATGATCTATCCATTGATGTAAGTGGGGTGTTAAAGTCCTGTACTATTATTGTATTACTGTCAATTCCTTCCTTTATGCTTGTTTTTACCTACTTCATGTATTTGGGCATTCCTATGTTGGGTGCATAAGTATTTACATTTATTATATCTTCTTATTGGATTGTTTCTTTTATGATTATGTAGTGTCATTTGTCCCTTGTTACAGTCTTTGTTTTAAAGTCTATTTTGTCCAATATAAGTATTATTAGGCCTGCTTCCTTTTTACTCCTATTTGTAATGCTTTTCCATTCCTTCACTTTCTTTTTTTTTTTTTTAATTTTTTTTTTGTTTGTTTTATTTATTTCTAGGCGCGAGAGAGAGATAGCGTGAGCAGGGGAGGGTCAGAGAGAGAGGGAGACACAGACTCTGAAACAGGCTCCAGGCTCTGAGCTGTCAGCACAGAGCCCGACGCGGAGCTCGAACCCACAGGCCGCGAGATCATGACCTGAGCGAAAGTTGGACGCTTAGCCGACTAAGCCACCCAGGCGCCCCCCATTCCTTCACTTTCAATCTGTATGTATCTTTAGGTCTGAAATGAGTCTCTTTTAGGCGGCATATAAATGGGTCTTGCTTTTTTTTTTTTTTTAATCCTTTCCTATGTCTTTTGATTGGAGCATTTAGTCCATTCACATTCAAAGTAATTATGGATAGGTATGTACTTCTTGCCAATGTGTTACTTGTTTTATGATTGTTTTTATAGATCTCTGTTCTTTTCTTCTCTTCCTCTTTATTCTCATGGTTCACAGGCTTTTACTAGTGATATACATGGTTTCCTTTATCTTTACTTTTTGCATATCTATTACTGGTTTATTTTTTGTTACCATTTGGTTTATATATAACATCTTATGCCTGTAGTAGTCTATATTAAGTTGATGATTGCTTAAGTTTGAACCCATTCTAAAAGCACTAAGTTTTTACGCCTCTCCCCCTACTATGTTTTAGGTATATGGTGTCATACTTTATATCCTTTTATTTTGTGAATCCCTTGACTAATTTTTATAAATATAGTTAATTTTGCTACTTTTGTGTTTCCCACTTTTCTTAGCCCTGCTTATGTTCTTTCCTTTATACTCACAGTCTTCTTTAACATTTCTTGTAGGACTGGTATATCATGCTGTTTTAATCCTTTCTCTCTCTCTCTCTCTCTCTCTCTCTCTCTCTTTAAGATTTTACTTTTAAGTAGTCTGTACACCCAACATGGGGCTTGGACTTATGACCCAAGATCAAGAGTCACATGCTCTACCAACTGAGCCAGCCAGCCAGCCCTATCCTTTCTCTTGTTGATGTGATGAATTCCTTCAACTTTTGTTTTTCTGGGAAACTCTTGATCTCTACCTCTGTTCTGAATGATAGCCTTGCAGGATAGAGTATTCTTAGCTGCAGGGTTTTTGTTTGTTTTTGTGTTTTTTGTGTTTTGGTGGTGTTTTTTTGTTTTTGTTTTGTTGTAGCATTTTGAGTGTATCATGCCACTCCCTTCTGGCCTACAAAATTTCTGCTGAAAAATTGGCCATTAGCATTATTGGGTTTTCCCTTTTACTGCTTTAAAAATTCTCTCTTTATTAGTACTTTTTGCCATTTTAATTACTATTTGTTTTGGTGTGGATCTCCTTGGAGTGATTTTGTTGGGTGCTCTCTGTGCCTCCTGGCTTTGGATTTCTGTTTCTTTCCCCAGATTTGGGAGGTTTTCAGTTATTATTTCTTCAAATAAACTTCCTGCCTCCTTTTCTCTCTTTTCTCTTCCTAGGATACCTGTAAGTGAATGTTATTATGCTTGATGGTGTTATTGAGTTCCCTAAATCTATTTTTATTTTTATTCATTTTTTTCTCTCCTGTTCAGCTTGATTGCTTTCCATTACTCTGTCTTCCAGGTTGTTGGGCCATTCTACTGCTTCCTATAGTCTGCTTTTCCCTCTAGTGTGTTTTCAATTTCAATTATTGAGTTACTCTTTGACTGGTTCTTTTTTATGCTTTCTGTCTCTTTGTTGAGGGTCTCACTGAGGTCCTTCACTTTTTTCCCAAGTCCAGTGGATGTCTTTATGACCATTAATTTAAATTATCTGTCTGGGTTGCCTGGCTGGCTCAGTCAGAAGAGCATGTTACTCCTGATACTCTTGTTCAAGACCCATATTGGGTGTAGAGATTACTTTAAAAAAAAAAAAAAAGATCAGGTATAGTACTTATCTCCATTTCATTTAGCTCTTTTGCTGTGATTTGCTCCTATTCTTTCATTTGGGACATATTCTTCCGTTTCCTCATTTTGTCTAACTTTCTGTATCTGTTTCTATGTGTTAGGAAAGCCAGCTGCGTCTCCTGCTCTTGAAAGTACTGGGCTTATGCAGAGGAGGTCCTGCGGTGCCCTGCAGTGCAGTGTCCCGGTTCCCCAGAACCCAGCACTTGAGGGGCTTCTCCCATAGGTATTGTGTGCACGCTCCTGTTGTGGCTGAGCTGTATTTGCCTTTAGTCCAATCATCTGCAATGGCTGTCTTTGTTCTGGGTAGGGTTTGGTCCCTATGTTGCTAGTGGGCCAGTCTGGGACCACCTTGGACTTGAGTTGTGAGACCAGCTGTCTGCCAGAGATGCTGTAGCACCAAACTGCAGGGAACTCTCCCTGTGTTGTCCTCTGAGAAGCTTTTGTTGGTGGACTGGGCCTGCGATCAGAGCAACTCTCTGCCCGCAGCCTACTGCTGGGACCGCAGTCTGAACTGGTGTGTGTGGTTAACTTCCCCTTTGCCCAGGGCAAGAGTCACTTTGCAGTGGTGCCAGCCCCTGCTGTGGCTGCCTGCTCACTGCCTGGCTTGTGGCCTCGCTTTGGATGGGCTTTGGCCATAGGCATACTGGAGGATGCAGGCCCGCAGGAGACCTCGGGGGCAGGGTGTGCAGTGCCAGAAGGTTTGCACTGGTCCCCTGTGGGAGGGGGAGCTGCAGCTGCCTGGGAAAAAGTGCCCAAGCTGGGGTGGAGGGGCAGGTCTGTGGGAGAGTGCGGGGTGAAGGCATGTGCCATTAGCAAGCTAGGTGGAAAGTGTTGGCACTGTGCTGCTTCCCACAGGTGTCTGTGTATCAAGGCTCAAGGACAGGGGAGGAAAATGGTGCCCATCAGCTCTTCTATCCTTTGAGAAGCCTCCCAAAGTTCCCTGCCCCTCCAGCACATTCTCTGAGATTATAAACAAATGTTCCTCCCATGTGCCCCAGACATTTTCAAATTGCTGCTCCAGAGCTGTGTCTCCTCAGGGCCATTTGTTTTGCTGCCTCTTTGAGGGCAGAGACTCCATGTCCTATCATGTTCCTGGCTCTGCCAGAGCCAAGCCCACTGATTTTTAAAGTTTCAGCTGTTAAGTCCCACTGATTATAAAAAACTCACAAAGCCAGGCCCCTTTGGCCTTCAAAGGCAAATGTTACAAGGATTCGTCTCCCCCATTCCCTGCCTGAGGTGCCTGGTGTGAGAGTCTGTTTCTCTCCTCTCTCCACGCCAGCAGCATCTTTGCTCCTGTGGATAGTCCCAAGAGTCCATTTGGCTCTCAACACATCTCTGCCCTTCCTATCCTCTTTGACGTGGCTTTTTCTCTACATTTAGTAGTGGAGTGTGTCCTGCCAGTCTCAGGTCATTTTCCAATTTATTTACACTGATGTGGGTGTCATCTAGTTGTATCCATGTGATGAGGTGAGCTCAGGCTCCTCCTGCTCTGCCATCTTGAAGCCTCATGCTCTTTAGCTTTCTGACTCACCAGAATGGACATGACCCCCTTGGAAACCACATGTTGGAGGTGACTTACTTTTGACATCCTGCATCCTTGAATGATTTCATGGAGGAGGGTACCCCCATTGACCTGGCCATCATTCACCTCTATTTCATGAGTAAGAACAAAACTTTCATTGAGGTAAGCCATTGAAATTCTTGGGTTTATTTATACAGCAGCTAGTGTTATTAGTATTAATACAAAATTTACTCCCCTCCATGGAGGTCTTGTGGTTAAGAATAAGTCCTAAAATATATAGCACTGCAGAAGAAGGCAAGAAGATTGGTATTGGAGGCTAAAAAGGTAAAAACTCGTGTTATACAATAGAGAATTCTTTAAGAAAACTGTTGCCCTCAATTACTTGGTGAGCAAAATGTCTACTGAGCCTGTGGCTCTACAAAAGTTTAGAAAACCCAAAGCTAGTGCACACTGGTTATTTGCATTGCTTAGTGTGTCAGTAGGAGAGTCAAGCTCAGGCAAGAATTGGTTGCTTCAAGAGGACAAGTGAAAGGGAATAGACTGAGTCCAGAAATTTGGAGTCTTTTGCTTTGAACCCCAAAATATAAGTAATAACATAGAAAAAAGGCTTTGAGCAACGAAAGCTCATTAAGACTTCTTATGAAACAGATAGTTTCACCACTGCCATTTAAGGATGCTTTCTTCACACTCAAGACTGTTCTTTTCTAGATAGTTTCAATATGGTTGTCATTAAGTGGAAGGAGAGAGATGTGGGGGTTAGGATACAGAGAAGTAAATTAGGCTTGTAAGTTAAGTCTAGTAAAGAACTCTATGTGCACATAAAAATGACTGCAAACAAATACAGTAAAACCTTGGTTTGTGAGTATAATTCATTCCAGAAACATGCTTGTAATCCAAAGCACTTCTATATCAAAGTGGATTCCCCTATTAGAAATAATGGAAACTCAGATGATTTATTACATAATCCAAAAATATTCACATAAGAATGATTACAATACTATAATATCATACAAAATAATAAAAAATACAAAATGTAAGAAAAATAACTTACACTTACCTTTGAAAACCTTTGTGGCTGGTGTAAGGGAGATGAGAGAGGAGGGTTATTGTGTAGGATGACTTTCACTGTAACAGAATCACTGCTATCCACTGGCTCAATGGAATCTTTTTCTGCATGGGGGCCATTGTACATGCTCACAGGGATGTTGACTATGGTACAGTATTAATAAAGTGTACTTGTTATATACTGTATTTAATGTAATTGGCAATAAGGGAGCAGAGGAAAGGGTCTATATCTGCAGGCAGCCTGACCTAGAATGAAGTAAAGCTTCGGCTTACTCTTGTATGAAAAAGCAAAGGACTGTCCATAGGTACTTTGAAGTGACAAAAAAATTACACTAGTGCCAGTTGTGGGCATCTTCCAATGTTCTGAAAAACCACTGATTTCTCCCAAACACCATGGCCTGAGACTGAACGTCTGAGCATGGGAGAGGATCGCTCACAATCCCGCAGTGAGTGACAGAGAGAGAGAGAGAAAGAGAAGAACCATTGGCTCAGTTGTAATCATGTGACATTTGGCATGACATACTGCTTGTATTGCAAGACATTGCTTGTTTATCAAGTTAAAATTTATTAGAAATGTTTGCTCGTCTTGTGGAACACTCTCAGAACAAGTTACTCACAATCCAAGGTTTTACTGTATATCAGAAGCTTACTAAGTTGGAAGGAATTATATTACCAAAGAGTTTTTGAACTCAGACTACAAAAACCTAGGTTGTGTAAGCCTGAAAATAGTCCTTGGGTGCCCTTGAGTGCACTGGCAGAAAGCTGGCTACAGCATCTGCGCAGACCCTCAAGGATGGCCCTCTTCCGACTGCCCACTTCAGATGTGGCCGTGGAGGTGAATGGACAGATGAGAACCTCGCAGGCGCATAGCAAGGAGCCACAGAGAGCAATAGACAAGGGAGCTCCTCCCAGAGAACAAAACTGGGGCCTAATCAAGGAACTGTAGCAGACCCTCTCAGTGCCCCCTCCCCTGCCCCATACGCGTTGTCTCTCACCTCTACTTCGAAAACTCTGCCTACTGCCCATACCTGCCTGAGGGATTTGTTTTCTAGCTATAGGAATGTATGAGAAAGATAGAAGTGCAAGGGAGTTAATGGCCCCAGAAACAGCCATCAGCTGCTGTAGGTGGACAGAAATGCCAGCTTCCTCACCCTTCAGATGGGGTAACTGAGGCACTCTCTGTTCAGAGTTCCTCCATGGGATTGAGTTCCTGCCCGTGGTAGAAATGTCTTGATAGCCCTCCCTTTATTGTCTTCCTTCTCCTCTCTGCCTCACTTTGTTCACGCTATACCTCCCAAATAAGCCCCTTACAGGGTCTGTTCCTGGGGGAACTCAAATCAAGACAGAGTTTTCCCACCATGTGGGCAGGGGCTTCACAGTAATATAAGTGGGTGCCTTTCCCGCACTTCTGTCTGTTACCAGTTCTCTTCTATAAACGAACAGTTGAAACTCTAGCCTAAAAAAAGAAAATTATTAAAACTGCTATTATCCTCAGTAGTCAACCTATTTTCTCAAAATGTTTACTTAAAGAATTCACATTCATTATGGAAAATGAAAGACAGATGAACAAAAAGAAAAATGTTTGGATTGCTATCCTTTTACCTAGAAATTGTCATGATTTGTGGGTTCATTGTTATGTTTCTCTTTCCATGCATTCATTCATTTATTCATTCGTTTTTCACTATCCCAAATCTTTGCTTTATGTTACTTAAAGTCAAGAGCTTCTTTAATTTTTAGGCTTTCGTGGATTAACTACAGTTAAGGAAATACTACTTTCAGAAGAATATTAAACTTTTTTTTCAGCTTTATTGAGATATAATGGACAAATAAAATATACAATATGATGATTTGATATACATATATTTTGTGAAATATATTTATTAAAAAAGTTTTTTTCTGGGGCATCTGGCTAGTTTCACTGGTAGATTGTGCAACTCTTGACCTCAGGGTCATGAGCTCAAGCCCCATATTGGGTGGAGGGATTACTTTATTAAAAAAATTAAAAATGTTCTTTCTTGGCATTGCTTTGTACAAAGCACAGTTTTAAGTATTTGAGATACATCAGTAAGCAAAACAAAGATTTCTGTTCCTCAGGGAAAATGAATTCGAGTTAGTGAAAATGAACAATAAAAAATATATGTATATAATTAAAAAAAAATAAATTTTTTAGTATCTTATTGTGAAAATGCTATGGAAAAAAGAAAGGTAGGGGCATCAGAGTGACTCAGTCCATTGAGTATCTGACTCTTGATTTCAGCTTAGACCGTGATCCGATGGTCGTGGGATCAAGCCCTGAGATGGGCTCCATGCTAAGTGTGGAGCCTGCTTAAGATTCTCTCTCTCTGAAGGACAAATACCATACGTTTGCACGTATAGAAGGATTAGGAGGAACTTAACGGAGGACCATGGGTGAGAAGAAAGGGGGAAATAGTGGGGGAGAGGGAGAGAGGCAAACCATGAGAGACTCTTGAATGCTGAGAACAAACTGAGGACTGATGGGTGTGTGAGAGGGGAGATGGGCATGGAGGAGGGCACTTGTGGGGATGATCACTGGGTGTTATATGGAAACCAAGTTGACAATAAACTATTTGTAAAATAAATAAATAAATAAATAAAAATAAATTAAATTAAGAAAAATAAAGGTACTCTCTTCCCCTGCCTCTCTCCCCCTGCTCAAGTGCGCTCTCTTTCTCTCTCTTAAAACAAATAAAATGAGGGGCGCCTGGGTGGCTTAGTCAGTTAAGTGTGTCCGACTTTCACTTAGGTCATGATCTTGCAGTTTGTGGGTTCGAGCCCCGCATCGGGCTCTGTGCTGACTGCCAGCTCAGAGCCTGGAGCCTGTTTCAGAGTCTGTGACTCCCTCTCTCTCTGACCCTCCCCTGCTCACGCTGTCTCTCTCTCTGTCTCCTAGAAATAAATAAAACATTAAAAAAAATTTTTAAAAAAACAAATAAAATGAAAAAAATAATAATTTTAAAAAGAAAGGTAGAGCACAGTGAAGGGAACCAGGATGGTTGGAGAGGGGATTGCAGTGCAAACATGGTAGGTTTCAGCGAGGGTGAGGCATTTGAGCAAAGACTTGAAGGAGGTGCAGATATCTTTGGGGTGAGCAGCAATGAAAGTCCCTAAGGGGAGTGGACCTGGTGTGCTCACGACAGAGCAAGGAAGCCAGCCAGGCTGGAGCAGAGT